CCTCTCCATTCACTCCCCATCCTTTTGACTTAGAGAAGTAAAATCCAAACATCAAGAGAAGGTCTCCCTTCCTCAGGGTCATCACTAAGATAAAAAAAGGGTCTTCCCATATGTCTTTAAGGCCCTCTTCCGAGCAATAAACCCAATTGCTTACCTCTATCTCGATAGCAAAATTGCATCTTATGAGGTGACTAGCTATTATGTCTAAAATCTAGTATTCCTGTGAACCTCGTTTACCTATAATTATCACAACTCTATCTCTATGTTCTTTCCTTTACCAGGCTTAAGAATTAGCAATTTCACTCTAGTATTGCATCAGATTTCCCTTGCTAGAATCCGACACTCTTGTGATATCCAACCTATCGAAGTCCTGGTAAGGAGATTCTACATTTCCTCTGTGTCTTCAAAAATCTCATTGCTCCAATTATTTAGTTATGTCTTTCACATGAGACAGTTTTTTAGCCACCTTGAAGAGGCTGATTTGTGAAATTAGCAGCAGAGGTAGGAGAAGGAAGAGGGGAAGAAGAGAATAAAGGGAGAGAGTTATAGAGGATAAAACTTAGAGTAGATTTTCATTCATTTTCTTCATGATTTTTTGTTATTACAATCCCACAAAAATTTATAGAAGTGCCGTCCTACAAAGAGAATGAAACAAAAATAACTTAGTACTACGTGCAGACGATGGCTGGCATATCATGTCCTTTCATACTAGAATCCTTCTGGCTAATTCCTAACAACTGTTTATTCGTGAACATAAAACAGAATAACATTATTGATATCCCTAGCCTTTCTGGTCCTGACATTTTTTTCCACTTAAGCTTGCTATCATTTTTTATCCAATGAGAGGTGGGCTGGTTCGAAACTTCATAGATTGGCAATTTATTGTAGCGACCATCTCTAGACCCATGAGAGGGCACAAGTTGGCAGCTTGTTGTCGCCGCCACCTTTGGGTCATTGAAACGTTAACACCTGAAGGACAACAAAAAACAAGCTGCTTTATCTGATGTAAGCCAAATATGATTGATTTATCCAATTAGGGATTTGGTGATAAAAAACCTAGAATGACACCTAATGTTTTCTAGGCAGTACACTTAAGAAGTCTTAAATATTATATTTAAGGGTTTGATTGTATCACATAATCAGAAAATTAAGAAAATCTCAAATGTTTTGTTGAATAACTGAATGCTCCTCTGAAAGAGGTCACATGCGTATTTATAGATTAGGGAGTACCAAAACTAATTTAGGATACTACTAATAAAATAGAAATATTAATACTAAAGAGATTAGGAATAATAATCCTAATATAAATTGGAAATATTAAAACAAATAGGGAGACTAAATACTATTAAGAGTAAAATTATAAAGTTATAAACTAATAATCCTCCTAAATAGTAGAGTAATATTGCATCTAATAGAATTGTAATTTTTGATCTATTTAGGCAATTTTAAACTAACTCATTCAGCATTATTTTCTCCTAGTTGGATAAAACTCATCCATGAGTTTTGAAGTGACAGATGATGTAAAATCTTAATGCTTGAGCTCTCTTTTGAAAATTTAACGAATTATGTGCGTGGTCATTTTCTTCGGCCTACGGTGCGTCTTATCTGAAGGGAGCACACTTTGGTGGTATGATTGCTGGAGCCTCTCCTTGTTCTGCTTGCTGGCCTATCGGGGTAGCAGCCTTCAGGCTTTGCCTTTATAATAAGAAATTCCGGTTCGGGCCAGGAAAGCTCTGGAAAAGACAGAAAGGAAGGGGTCCATGTAGCTGCTGCGTCCGCCCCTCTTATTAGTCAATGGGGCAGCAGGTTCGGTATCTACTAGAAAACAGAGAATCCACCTCAGATAACCACACCTCTGCAGACTAGGCAGCGTGTGGAATGGCCGAGAGAGGACCTTTTCGGATAAAATAGTATGATGGTAGCATGGAAACATGAATGCTTGATGGTATAATGAAATCAACATATTGACTAATTTACACTTCAAATTCATCTTTGAGTTGGATATCATTAGACCCAATTATTGGCTTAGGTTCCTTATTGTATTGAACTTTCATAGAACTTTCTATGGGGTATGAAAGATCTTGAATAACCTCAATTTCTTTACTCTTAGGAACATATGATATTTATTCTTGATTCTCAACTTCAAGGGGTTCCTTCTCTTTATTTTTTTCATAAACTGCATGTGCTTTTGGACGTTTATTCATCTCTTTGTCGGAGGTTTTAAAATTACATCCATTATTTCGAGCATAAAAAGATAAGTATTATTAGTCTCATCATGCTGAACATTTTGATCATAAAAGCCAAGGTTGACCTACAAAAATATGTGTGAATATCATAGGAACAATATTGCACAAGATTGAATCACTAAAGTTACCGTGATGAATAAAAACAGGAATCTGTTGAGTTACGAAATGGTTGAATTATCCATTCAAACTAGTCTATATGGTTGGAGATGCAGTTGCATTCAAAGATTGAATCATTCAACTGTAGATATTGAAATAAGATTTCTGCAACATTCTTCATGAATGACAAGTATCTTATATTTATCTTCACAGCAAGCTACAGTTTGAAAAATTGGAGAAACTTTGGATATTTTTCCACTTAAATTGCATAGTTGTGCTTAGTTATAGTTGAAAAAGATATGTTGATCCTATCGTTCTTGAGTTGCGATAATTTTTTTCTCAAGATTCCATATGTCTTGTTCACTCTAATTTCTGTGAAGAAACTACAAAATAAGAAGAGTAGATAAGAATATCTTGCTTTGCATTACTGAAAACTGGTCTTAAAGGAGATAAACATGTCTCGATTTGGTGAAACCCAGTTCAAAAAGTTAAAACAAAGGCATGATATTGAAATGCTCTCTCGCAACTGCGCGTGCTTGGTCCATCAAGCGGCTTCTGGTCACTAGACAATGGTGAGCTTTTGCTAATTGAATCAACTAGAGGTGCTGGTTGCAGATCAGAGGGTTTTTGTAAGATATTGATTATGCAGAAGCCTGGGATCGCAAGAGACAGTGGCTGGGAGAGCCTGCGCCAGCAAGTGTGGAGGTTTCTGGCGGAGTTTCAAAGTGGGGCTGTTGGGGTCTATCGATTGGAACCTTTCAAGAGCAGTGGTAGAGGTAGTGTCGGCCACCTTCTAGGGCTAGTTGGTGGATGGGTTGACAGTGTTTTAGGGTTTCTGTAATTTTTTATTTTCATATGGTTTTGGGGCTATTTAGGTGTATGGTTTTGAGATTTTATGTAGGGTTCTTTAGTTTTGATATCAAATTAATATAGGACAAATAAGGTTGATTTGTCCTATTAAGGATTTGAGAGTAAAGATTTAGATATCACACCTAGGGTTTTTTAGACATCATATTAAAAAGTTGTAAGCATCACATTTAAGAAGGTATCACAAGTTGAAAGTTGGGAAACTCTTAAAATATTTTGTTGAATAATTGCATGCTTCTCCGAAAGAGGTTACAACCGTATTTACAGAGTGCTTAATAAGCCTTTCTCAATTAGGTTAATAAATACCAAAAATAATTTAGGAAGACTACCTCTAATAAAATAAGAATACTGATATTAAAAAAATTAGAAATATTCACTCTAATACAAATAGGAAATATTAAAACAAATAGAAGAACTAAATACGAATAAGAATAAAATCTTAAAGTTACTAAAACTATAATAATAGATTCCTTATAGTATAATCATTTTTTCATTTAATTAAATTATAGTTCGTAATCTATTTAGGCAATCTAAAACTAATTCATTCTACATCAATATCATTCTATCACTAGTAAGATGCCACCTTATTGTAAAAAAAAGTGAATAAAAAAGGTACAACCAAAATAACTCATAAATTTAGATAATTTTCCTAAATAGCCTATATCTCTCTTAAATAGGCCTGATATATAAGAGTTTTAAAAAAATTACAAACTATTATAGCATCACATTTTAATGCCAAAAACATTTTATCTAGCTTGTGCCCATTATACATCAATTCTCCTTGACTTTTTTTTGAAACAAAAAGTGTGAATATATATTAACAGGGTACTAATGAGGATACCACTCATTTACAAATTTACAAACTTGTTAGGGTGTCAATAACATCTCCAAAATTTTCATCTTTAATGATGTCATGATCCAAAACTATGTATCCAAAATAATTAAACCATAACTCTCTTAGTCTATTAGTATCCATCTCTATACAATCAAACGCTCTCCTATTCATTTCTTTCCAAATGACCCAAAAAATGGTTAAAGGGATGATCTTAACAATATTCTTTTTCAGGCTAATCTCGTTCCAAGCCCATATCTCATCAAAAACCAAGCCTAAAACCCAATTGATCCCGAGCAGTCTATATATCTGGAACCATAGCTTATAGACAGCTGGCGAAGAAAGAAGTGGCAGCATTCAACTCTCTTTGACATCATCAGGCCGATTAGTGATGGGACAAAAGCAGGGGTTTTTCTTCTCCTTGGGGGGTGTCGGGGGGTTTCCACATTATTTCTTTTTCTTATTTCTTTTTGTGTATCTTGATTGTCTTTTACTTTGGTATAATATAAAGCTATTTTCTTTATAAAAGCTATTTGACAGGGTGCACATGAAACATCTCAAAGTATCTTTACAGTGGTTATGTAATATTACTAAATAAAAGACTGCTTGAGATGTTACAATGTGAACAAATACACAAGAAAAAGCTCTAATTTTCTCCTTTGCAATTTTAGGGTTTGCGTAATATTATTGACCAAGAGATGATGGATCATTGTGATGAGTTGTATGATATCACAGATGAATATACAGACAGATGGCTTTCTTCAGGTAGATTTTCTTACTATTATTTTGCTCTTGATTAGTTTCATAATTTCCTTTGAAATCTAAGCACCTGGGCTGATAGCTATTTGTTTGTCATGTGATTATAGTTGTCAAGTACTTTCACTCATTCATTTTAAGAAACATTCTTGAATAATCAAAACAGAATGGATTCAGAATCTTCTTCAGTATAGATGGTGAGCAGTGGCTAAGAGGAATCATTCTCAGTCTGAGTGGTCAAAATGAGATTGTTTTTTTAGGAATTGAGCTAACTAGTATATTATTGATCTTCTGAATGAGGCAGGGAGATTTGGATTTAAACCAGTTGATGCTCCTATAATCCTAATCTCAAATTGGCTATGGATGATTCCTTAAAAAAAAAAAAAGTATAGGTGAGGGAGAACTATTGGAAGACTGTGATTAGGAGGCTAATTGGAAACATAAAACTAGAATTAAGGAGAAAATCCTGGCCTAACTATAATAATAATCCTAGTACAAAGATGTTTCAATAAAAAAAATACTAATACAACACTCAAAGGAATATAACATAAAACTAGAATCCTAAAGTTACTAAAGACTAATCTTAGCCACTATTAAATTAAATTTGTAGATTTGCTAGAAATACAACTCCTAAACTTTTGAGAGATTTAAGTCTACATCCACTTTCAATCATGGATCAGATATGTCATGTGCACCAATCATTTTTAGGAATCAACTTCTCATTAGGTCCCCTGAAGGTGTTGTAAACATATTACTAATGTTCACTGTCCCTGACATGAGTAGTTCCAATAATGTTCAATAGAAGTTCTTCTCAAAGAAAATTATGAAGAAACCGGTTTAAAGCAATATGGTTGATGCCTGGCTCTTACAGAGTAATTCCTTTGGTATCATCCGATGCATAAGGAGACTTCTGCTTATGGAATGCGAGGAAGATTGACCATGAACACATCTCACTCATAAATTTCTGTCCCTAGAATGTGTTTGGCTCAATGGACCAATGGTACTCGTTTGCATACATCGCCAATCACCCATCTTGTGTTCAACTTTGTTCAGTATTCTTTATTGATCTGAAACTCAGTGGCAATGATGTTTGAAGAGATAGGTTGGCGTCCTCAGACCTAAGATCTTTAACCAAATTCTGAGATGGGCCTCAAGCATAAACATGGCAATTACCCATCCAGTGTGCAACTCTGATTGGTGTGAATTATTGATCCCAAACTCAGTGGCAAAGATTTTTGAAGAGATATCTGGTCGTTCATCCTTGCATGTAAGACTGAAACCAGGTTCTGGCTTTTTTGTTTGCATCTGGAAATATATTCTGCATTTGAAAGAATTCCTGAACACAATAAAAAAATGCATAAAATATTGCCCAATAGATTTCATGACACAGCACACCAAATATTCATATCAATAACTTAGGTGGTTAATTGAACATGATTCATAATAAAAAAGGTATAGGCATTGCAATATGCTCTCAAAAACCTGTTAATATATTTGTATAGGCATTGCAATATGCTCTCAAAACCTTATTGTTCTCATACTTGCTAATGAAATATGTTTGTTCTGGTCAATCCTGTAAAAGCAGAAAAGCACAAAAGAGGGACCAATGATCCAAAAGTAAGCTCTCTAACAGTCCATAAGCACTAACTCTACTTATTTCTATGCCGTAACAGGATCCATAATTTGGGACTGTAACATGGTTATTTCACTGGTCCTTGTATTTTGTGCATTATACCCTCTCTTTTTTTTTTTTTTGGGGGGGGGGGTGTTAAAATCTGTGGCCATTGACATTGTTTGTCATCCTCGTTGTAGTCTTTATATGGTTTCTGGAGCTGATTGAACTTTGACCATATTACTTCATATTTCTCTTGCATCGTTTATAGTGTAATCTTTTCACAAATGCAGCACATGCCTTATTGGAAGAGTGTTTGGGTCGGAAGGAAGACTCTGTGGACGGTGACATCAGTTCTACCAGCCGAACAGTTGGGCACATAAATGTTCTTGTGACTTCTGGAGCATTGATACCTAGCCTTGTCAAATGCTTACTGTTTCGACTTAATGATTTCATAGCTCATAATAATGGTTAGTTCATTTAATTTTATTTTTTTTTTGGTAAGCATTTAGTTTGGATTTTGTTTATGAAAGATGTGATACTCCATATGCCTTGACTTTTGATCCCGTATTCATACCTATGAGAGCGCTCGACAAAAGGTAGTTGTGATTTAAAAATTGGAGATTTTGATTTTTTTCTGGAGATAAACACTGAAACAAAGTACGGGTGGCAGGTTGAAATCAACGTATCATTAGGATCCTGGTTCATTCACGGCTGGAGGATCCTTACTTAGCAAGGGTTAGGGTTGTGAAATGAGAACAGAAAGTTAGGCAGAGGAAAATCAGAGAGCAGGAAGAACAGCGGGAGAATTTAGAGAGAGAGAGAGAATGAAAGAGAAATAGAGAATTTGATTTATAGTATTTTGATAATTCCTTACAGCCTATATCATTCCCCATATATAGTAAATTCTACTGTTATGATTGGATAAAATAATAACAAACATGGAAGACCGAGTACAACATAGCTGGCACATGGTACAGAGTTGGTATAATAGTAATGGGTGGGATGATTTTGGGAGGGTTTTCGATGTATTAACTGACATGTAAATATTTGGTATAGGGGCGCAACCCCTTGGTGCCATATACATGATATACAAGTTTTTATCTAAAAAAAAGGTAATGACTGTGAGCCAAAAGACAGAAAATAGAAATTCAAAGGAAAAGTGATCGCTAAAATTCCCTATATTTATTTGGCACCATTTTGGTTCCTAGCACTTCTCCTGGCTTGAAGAGCAACTTTATTCTTAAGGTTTAACTGTGGAATCTGCCCCTTAAAAAGTTCCAATCCTCCCAAGAAGTCTCATATGATGCTATATTTAGCCATTTAACCACAGCTTGCTCAATTGGCTTGCATATGAGATGAATAGTTCTCTTTTATAAAATAAGCTCAAGCTCCACCTATACTGTCCTTGTGAATCAATGAGTGACAACTGCTTCTGAATTTATGGGGTACTTCCTATATATTTCTTGAGCATGGAGACGTGAAAGCCTGGATGTATGGCACCGCTGGCAGACAATTTAAGTCTGTAGGAACTGTTCCTATTTTCTGTTTCACCTTGAAAGGCCCATAAAATTTTAGAGCCAATTTGAGTTACCTTCGAACTACATTGAGGACTGCCTTTGTGGCTGTAACTTAAGCAATATCCAGTCTTGCACTTCAAAGCTTCTTCCTGTTCTTCTAGCGTTAGCAAATTGTTTGGCTTGATTTTGAGCCTCCATTAGGTGCTCCCAGATTATCCTATTCATTTCCTGTTGATCTTGCATCCATTCCTTCAAACCTTGTGCCTTAATATCAAGGTCTTGTCATTCCATGATGTGTGGCAGGGGGTAACCATACAAGGTTGAGAATGGTGGCATCTTGAGGCTTGAATGATATGTGCTGCTTTACTACTAGTCAACAATAGTTGGCCACTTGGACCATGATCTTGATCTCCTGAAAATCATGCACCTTAGGTCGCCTTCCAAGCACTGATTAATCCTTTCTGTCAGGCCATTGGATTATGGATGGTAGGCAGTACTTTGGTGCAGTTTGGTTCCTGTCATCTTCACTAATTCTTGCCAGAATTTGCTTGTAAAGACATTGTTTCGGTTGGTCACAATTTGTCTCGAGGTCCCATGAAGTTTGTGGATTTGTCAGGAAATATGTGCTGTGAATGGATGTGTCAAGGCTATGGAATGGCTGTACTTGGTAAATCTGTCAACTACCACTGAAACAATGTTCCTGCCTTCCAATTTGGGAAGCTGCCCAATAAAAATAAAATCCATGGTGATTTCATGCTTGAGTGCGAATTTCAAGATGGAGTAGCATGGATAGGACACGTGCTCTACTTTGCACCTTTGACAAGTATCACAATTCTTAATCTGTTCTGTCACCTGCTCCTTCATCTCGGGCCAATAAAACTGTTGTTCAATTGATGGGTAAGTACCTCTAGTTCCTGAATGACTTTCCAGTAGGAATCATGATAGCTTGAGCAACTGCTCCCTCAAGTGTCTTCATTTATCCATGAAATTTCTCTTCTTTGTACCTTATCATTCCATGCTCAAAAGAATATAGGGGTTTACCCGTAGAGTCTGTGGGTAATTCAGTAAGAAATTTACCTGTTTCTTCATTATTTTGGTAAGAGTTCTGCACTTGTTGACCCATGAGGGAATCACCATGTTTGCAAGGCTGCGAGCTTCCCCTTCATCTGGAGTTTCTCATCTGGATAGTGCATTTGCAATGCTGTTATCCCTTCCCTTCTTGTATTGAATTGTATAAGTCAACCCTAACAATTTGAAAACCTCATTTTGTTGGATGAAGGTCTTAAGCCTTTGCTCAAGCATATGCTTTATGCTTTTTTGGTCAGTGCAGATGATAAAGGAAATGCCCTCTAGGTAGTGCCTCCACTCGCTCGCTGCTATGATGATAGTTATCATTTCTTTCTCATAAATAGATAACAATTGGTGTTTGGTGCTCAAGGCTTTAGTAAGATAACAATTGGTGCTCTCTGCTCCAATGCCCTTGTCAAAAGCATCAGTCTCAAGCTCAAATGATTTGGTGAAGCCTGGTACTGCCAGCATTAGGGCTATTGTCATGGCCTCCTTAAGCCTTCCAAATGCTGCCTCTGCTTCATCATTCCATCCAAAGGCATTTTTTTAGTAGCCCCATCAATGGTCTACTTATTTTACCATAATCTTTGACAAATTTGTGGTAGTAGCCAGTAAGACTCAAGAATCCTCTCAAGGCTTTAATGTTCGTCAGTCTTGGCCAGGTCATTGTAGCTTCTACCTTACTTTCGCCTGTCTGCACTGCTGCAGAAATCCAGTGCCCTAGATACTCCACCTGCTTCTGCATGAAGCAACGCTTTGATTCCTTGGCCAACAATTGTTGTGCCTTGGAACAGAAAATAGTGTCCAAGTGGGAGAAGTGTTCCTCCAAGGTTTGGCTGTAGGCTAAAATATCAAGGTGTGACTGTAAACTAGAATATCACAAAGAACACTAGGACAAATTTTCTCAAATGTGGTCTAAACACACAAATCATGAGATATTGAAATATAACAGGTGCAACACTTAAACAGAAGGCATCACTTTAAACTCAAAGTGCAGGTGGTGACTTCTAAAGGCCGTTTTCAGCACATCTTCAGCCTTCACTCTTTGATGATAGCTGGACCTTAAGTTAATTCTGGAGAATGTTATGGCCTAGGGTAGCTCATGCAACAGATCGTCAATCACTGATATAAGAAATTTGTTTTTCACTGTAATTGCAGTGAGCTGGTGATAGTCTACATATTATTTTTTGAAATAAGGCGGTGTGTACATAAAATCTCCAGTTATCTTCATTCTTCTTCACTAGAAGCACCGGTGAGAGAAAAGGACCATGACTTGGTTGGATAACTGAGCTTATCCAGCATAAGGGTCACCATTCTTTGAATTTCTGTTTTTTGAAAAAAGGGTATCTATAGGGTCTTACATTCACTGTTGCTGTTCCAGGAAGAAGAGTTATTCCATGATCTTATTCTCCAATTGGTGGTAGGCTTCTTGGCACTTCAAAGATGTCTTTGTTGTTGGCCTCTTGGTTCTTCAAAGGTGTCTTTATTGTAGGCCTCTTGGCTCTTCAAAGATGTCTTTGTATCATCTCATCAGTGCATTAAGTCTGTCCTGAATATCACTTGTTTTATGTGAATTCCAGGCTGTTGTAGCTGCCTGAAGTTCCGGGGAACATAGGGCACTACTAAAGCTCTTCATTTCCTTGTGTACTAACTTAGTCAAATTGACTGAGGTCCCCTTGAATCAGCACCTTTTGGTCTCCCTTGTCTCCCTTGGTGACGGAGACTTGCATATGGAGGAAGCGAAAGAGACTGGGTTGTATCTTTTCATCCAATGTGTAGATAGGATCACATCATATGGCCCACCTCAATCACTCTAAAGAGTCACAAAACATGCCTTTTCTAGCTTCCTGTTCTGATGCCGGGTCTTGTATCGGTTTTCATGCTTCAGCCATTGGCTGCCATGCTTGTAGGGTGGTGATTTTGATGAGTGGGATGTCACAGCGCCTTGCCATTTGAGCATCTATGAACGTCTGAGTGCTTCCACTATCCACCAATCCTAGCAGGCATTCGAAGAGATTTCCTACTTTGGTTGTGTTTCCTTCTCTTGTTCCTCCAGAGCATTCGAAGAGATTTTCCCTGTGACCTCTTCTTTCTCCACCTCTTCTTTGGGTTCTTCCTTCTCATCAAATTCTTTGTTTTCTTTTTATGTGGCTTCCACCACCAATTTTGATATTTCATGGTGGTGCATTCCTGTTTAACTTATTAAACTTTTCCGTCATGTCAGCAATTGTAGGGTCTCCAAGACACTGACATAGCTCTTCCTCAAAGTGAGCTCACTCCATCTCTTCATGTCAAGTTTGCCATCCTTGGTACCAAGTCTCTGCCTTTTCTCCTAAAAATATGGCAGCTAACTCAAATTTTTGCTCTTCCAGAACTCCATAAACTCGAAAGTATTCGTTCCACCTCCACACCCATGATCGCGGATTAGATCCTCTGGATATTGGTATGTCTACTTTGGGAGCATTCTGTCCCTGTATGTTGTTTAGGGTTCCTTGGGTGTTCCTAACGATGTTGTTTTCTCTTGTTATGGGGGTAAAATTCCATGAGAAAGGAGATAGTGGTAGGTTAGTGGACTGGACTTAAGCTGAGTTGTTTTGTTGGTGTAAGTAATGGCTGAGATGGTCCTGTAGAGGGTGATGGGATTATGGCTCGTATTGTTTTTGTCAACATGGCCTGGAGTAGTGCATTGTTCCCTGCTGTTTAGCAGTGAGTTTGGTCTCCAGCCAGGAGTTTATTTGTTCATATATCTCCTTCATGCACTCAAGGAGCCGCTAGTTAATAAAGCAGACATATTCTTCCACCTGAGCAACCCTTAGTGAATTGGTCATGGTGGCCTTTCCTTTATTCTTCACCAACTTAACAATGAAAGTGAAGGATTTGTA